TTCCATTAATGGGATTTCTATGGAACCAAACCGCACGGAAGGGGCCATTAGAATATTGTCTTTGGTCCCGACGTAAGAGTCACACGACCTCTCTTTTCTTTAGTGGCAACCACATACGCTGCCCACAAAATAAGACAAAAATATTCGAGAATTATCTTTCTTTCTTTTATTTCGATATTATTTCTCGCATACTCCTGGGTTAGAAACGATCCTTAACAAATCCCACTACGCACACCTACCAATAATTATTCACCATATATGTCTGAACCCGAGCCTCAACAGAACCCTACAAGTTCCCAGACTTTTGCATCACAAAGAACACGAAGAGATCAGAAAATGGTCTCATTCGTATCCTTGGCCTAACTAACGAAGAAGCCATCGAAAACACTTACCACTACACGGAGAACTCGCAACAACATTCATCTAGCCAATCATGCACAAATTCCTATCAACCCTCGCAACACGTCTCCTGACCCTCAACCAGCAAATAATCCTGACCAGGAGAGCAACAAACAGAAAACCAAAGTTACAGACTTTGACGACGACAGCTCGGTTCCATCCTTCATCCTCGACCGACCATCTTCTTACGCCTTGCAAAAGCTAGAAGACATAGAATACGTCAAACTATGGTATTTCACACCTGCGGGCTGCACTGAAGCTACCGCAACAATGTGATCAAATGCTGACTCTTTCAGCTTTACCAAAATGGGTGACTTAGTTGCACTCAGACCCATATCCTCCACTCGAGCCTCTCGGAACGTCATCCAAGATGAAAATCTAACCATGGCGCAACTTTCAGTAGCTCGCACTGCATTCCTCGACCATGCCAAAAAATTGGCATGGCCGCGCAGACATCTTGATTCTCTCGTCCGGTTCTTCAGCCACATTGAGAACCACCCTCTGCGCCGTACCCCGCACGGAGAAGAAGCATTGTTAGCTTATCAAGCTCAAGTCAGAAGAGAATGGCACGACTGACTGAAACTCAATTCAGAGTCAGTCTTCAATATAGCCAACATCAATGAGAATCTACTGGCATCCATCGAGAGACAGCTCTTGACGAGTGCCTACGCCAGGGAAATCAAACAGGTACGTCTCTTCTTTTCTCATTATAACTTATGTCCTACATTGTTTTCTAATCAATACTGTCTACTTTCCATCATATAATCAACCTACAATCATCAACCACACCCATGCACATAATGTGAGGAATCAAATTTTCTTATTGCATTCCCATCATGTCGTGGTTATCCGATTTGCTCCCTGTCACTCCTTTTGCCCTTGGACTAGAGATTACAGCCGGTATCTTATTACTTTTATCCTTTTTCTTCTTATTCTCCATTCATACTCACGTCCTATTGTACTTACAACAAAGGAGAACTGTTGTAGACCCTCGAGAAGATATCCAAATGACATAGCAACAATCTAGTGTTATGTCTGGGAATACTTTGGAGGGATATTGATAAGCGAAGAAGGCTGTGAGTCAGCGTCTTCTCATGGGCTTACTGATACAGCCAATTGCACACTC